TGGAGCAGAGCAATACCAAATATTAAAATTTATGAAAAACACATGGCAGTGAAGCATATGCGAACCTCAGTGAGGTTATTTGTACTGTACACTTGAGACTAATACATAACTTGATTCATGACCTATTAAGGCCTATCTTTTTGGAAAGCTGATCAGGAATAAATTAGACAACTGGTAAAGGATCCAGCCTATAACTTGTATATAATCTTATCAATATCCAGCCCTACACACAGCATGACACTACAGAGGAGTATAAGATTTACATACCTGTATTTTGCATTCTCGTCCTGGCCCATGTTTGCCTGCAGCTTGGCAAACCAGGCAAAAAACTACAAAAAAAAAGGAATTATATTACACCCATGCATCTTATTAAGGTATGGTAAATCTGACTGGGTGCATAACTGCTTAAAGCTGACTGGGTCAGACACCTGTTGTGCAGTTTCTATTCTATTGTTTTCCATGTTGAGCATCTGAAATCCTTTGAGCAGGATGTTTTCTGTTGAATCGGGAACAGTCGCAGTGAAAGGGGACTGCAAGGATCTAGATGACAAGCTACACAAGTCTTCAATGGGTAGCTGCAAAACAAAACAAGGCTCCTTATTTCTAAGCTCCTTGATTTCAAGCTAACTACCTGGACATGTTGACGAGGTGGTGAAGCACAAATACATACATGCCAGATAAATTAACTTGTAACGTAATGAAAGGGGGAATTAAGGTCATACAGTGGCAGCCTCGACTTTTATTTGACATCACTTGCGTTTAGAAAGTAAGTTAGCAGCACTGCTAGCTAGCTAGCAGAGTCCAGAGCTCCAGCTCACCTCAGAGGGCACAGAGAGCTTTTCGGCCGCGGCTCGGATCTCCAGGACGGAGTCCATCTGTTTCTCCGTGAGGGGAGCCGTGGCATCGGCACGGCGGTCCCATAGCGACAGTTTCTCCCGGGTTTCCTTATCTGTTAAGTCCAAGAGGGACTGATCTGTGGACGCCATCGTTAGATTAGACAGCACCAACGTCAGCAGCAACGCGCTGGTACTTCCTGTTCCGGGAGTGTGGGCGGGGCTTGATAAAGAGGTCGGTGATCCCACTGCGATGGTGAGTTTCGCTCCGTGTCTTAAAACACTTTTGCAAATATATTTTAAAAGCATGAAAAGGATAATATACAGAACTAATCTGTCTTCATTTTTTTAAATTACAAAATGACATTTTTTCAGTATTAAAAAAACGAGTTATTAAGCAAAATGGTACAATGGAAGATATTATCATATGAGTTTCCGCCCACAGTCCAAAGACATTCTCCTGAACTGGTTTAGATGTGGATTTGACAGTGAATTTGAGGTTTTCTGTCCGTAATGGATTCTGATAACCTACCCAGCCAGGATGCACCCCTGCTGCCAGGTGGGGATTAGCTGCTCCAGACATCCAGCTCCACATCCTTGAATTGTATAAGGGAAAGTAAATGGATGGATGGATGGAGGGATGGATGGAGGGAGGGATAGAAGTTATAACTACTCATGTTCAAGGACGTGGCTACAGTTTTGGGCCTCCTGTGTCACCTCTCCAAAGCTGTGTTGTCATAACATTGCAACACCATCATCTGTTTTTGAGGAAAAACAGTATTGTGCTCCTCAGTGAGTTATCGTAATACAGCTATATAACGATATGCAACTGAATAATAAGGGTGTGCTAATAAAAAACTGACTCATATATGTACTTCACAGTGACTTGGTCCACTGCCTAACATTACTTTTTTACCTTGCACAGGTTAACATAAAACAAAGGAATAATGGGAGATCTGTCTTTAATTCTACCACTCAGCAGAACAATAGACATTAATGGTTGCAACCAGACTGCAATTTGTGAGCTCCATTACCTTGGGACTCAGTGTTTAATGTTTTGTTTCAGTTCCATGGTCAAGGGTCACCCACATCCAATGCACATTTATTAAGGCAACAACTAAAGTTTTTCTAATGTGCTGAATTTTCAGTTTGTCTTTTAGTGATGTGGTTTGATATTTATTTCTCATAGAATTTTCTGTTTTCTCATGCCCCCTGCCAGCTGATTGTTGGTCCCCCAGTGCCACCTCATTTCAAAAAATCTTGGGAACACTCCTGTTTGTGTGTTTTATTGCATTTTGTTTCTCTGGGAAAAGTGTGTGTGTGCATGTACTGGTCATAACAGAACCACTTGAAAGTAACTGTTCGTGCATAGCTGGTTTTGATCGTTAAATAAATAAATAAATAAATGTTAGATGCCTAACCAGAAATTTCAGCTATCATCCAGGTTATGGTGAAGGCCCATTGTAGGTTTTACTAAACAAACACCACAAAACAAACAGATCAACGTGGCAGATGGAATTTCTGGGCGGGACAAAAAATGGCACCCAGCAACACGTTAATCTATCACAGAAAAAAATAAATAAATCCAGCAGGTGGAGCCCTGGGAAACATTTTTAATAGACAAAAATTCAGGCTCCGGGATATTTTCACTCCGTTAACTCTTCTATGTCTGCGTCCATTTATTCATGCAGAAGTAAAAGTAAAAACAATAATGTGTCTACTTGTGTTTTTCATGCTACAGCGTTTCTTTACTAAAGTTGATGTATATAAGCTTAGCAGGTTTTACTATTTTTTTTTAATCAGTAGAAAAAAACTGTCCTTAAGTTAAATGTTACTATTTAACAGGAAGGAACTTTAATACCACTGTTTATTTTACAGCTAACAAATCTACTGACAAATTTCAATAATTAATTTTAATTTAACGATTTATTTTTTAATTGAGGAGGTGAAGTGACAACTGGCAATGTGTAGCATTTAGTATACTTCTGGTTGACTAGATCCTCTTCACAAATAGCTTCAAGTATTTCTTCCCACGCAAAAAATGAACACATCACAAAATCAAGCTCTGGTGACATTACATGGAGGAGGTAGTGCTCACTTATTATGGCTTTGTCTGCAGGGTGTCTCATGGGGAGGTCACAGAGAGTTCAGATCTTCTTTTTTTTTTTTTTTTTTTTTTGCTCTTGTACTTTGTTGAAAGGAAACGCTGCAGAATTCAAGCCACGCTACTCCAATACAAAACGAAATGTCAGAGCAAATCTTGTCAAAAATTGTGTTGTGGCTCAATGCAGGTTAAAGTCAGTCCTGCAAAGCAACGTTGACACTTTTCTTTATGATGGCTGTGTTATCTTTTCATAAAAAAAAGCATTCCAATGTTAAAATAAAACTCAAAAATAAATGATGGTGCATTGTGTTAAGTTACAATTACTGATGTTTAAATGAGGTAGAAAAGCAGATATATTATAGGAGGCACACATTTTACAAAATTGTAAAGAATGGTGCGTTTATATACATATATACATATATGTGTGTGTGTGTGTGTGGGGGAGGGGGGGGTTATCAGTCAGTCAGAAAGAGAGAGAAAAGTCAATGCACAGATTTTTAAAAAATTAATTGTTCTTTTCTTCAAAATTTCTATAGAACTTGCAGTGAATCCTTTATTGTCAGTTGTTTTTCAGTATGCTATTATCCTGTCCAAATCTGCTTTGGTGACAGCCCTACTGAAACACATTTGTGGATTGCATTATTCATGACACAAGGAGGATAGTCACGCAAATAATCATGCGAAGTCACTTTTATTAGATCTTGTCAGAGAAACTTAAAATGGCATAATTATGATGAAGATCCATTTTAAAACGGCTATAATGAGGAGATGAATATTCCCGAGATGCTAAACTTTACTAGAACATTTTCAGAAATAAATACATAAAAACCCCTGAATTGACTGATTTCTTATTAGAATTAAAAAAAGTGAAACCGTTCTTAACTATTATTCTTAGATCCTGCATTTACATGTTTTTTTTTTCTTAGAAACATTGACAAGTAGTCATTTATATTATAATGACAACTTTATCAAAGTGCTACGACTTAAAAAAGTTCAAAAACACAAAATTTCCAATGGCCTCTAAATCAACCTTCCACAAACATATGAGCCCCCTTAATAGATGTCATTAAAAATTCGCCATTTTCCTTAAAAGTATATTAATAAAAAAGTGTGCAATATGAATGTAAAAAAATGTGGAGCCAGCTAGTGAATTTGGAATTGTCACCAACCAAAAGAGTAATGTACATAAATGTGCAAAGCAAAGAAAACATTTATTAAATAGCTCAGATTAGTTTTGGAAATCTACACCAATGTCACTGTATCCTTTTTTCTTTTTTTCAAAGGTGCACACTATCAAGTCCCTTTCTGGATACAAAAAAGAAAATCCAGGAAAGACGGGGCAGGTTTATCAGTTATTGTAGTCTGTTCCCTCTAAGTGATCGGGGATAGGCAGTCCACTCAGGATTGTTAGGCATCTGTTCCAAACATTGAACACAGGGCAGACTGGCTGAGCAAAGTCAATGTCAAACGTATACAAGTGCTGAGAACCAACAGCGTCATAAAAAGACAGAGATCCAGAATCATAGTCCAACAACACCCCGAGACGCCGCAAGTGGGGAGAGGGCTCGATGGGAATCTCTTTACTGTTGTGACGCACCACCCATGAGTTGTTGCAGCGAGACATTACCCAGGAGGCTGAGTTTTTGCCGACCCACTCGTGTTTCGGCGCTGACTTGTACGCAATTCCTACTGCAAACCTGCGTAACCAATGAGAGGAAATAATTACATTTCATAAATACAGGTTTAGTAGTAACATTCTAAATCTGAAACATCATTCACGCTTACATAAAAACAATACATCTACAGACTTAAGCAGAAATAAGAGCAGACATTCTAACTGTAGCAATGTAGCAAATTTCATGGAAATCTATCCAATGACTAGCGAGCCTATCTTTGTTTAGTCTTGAGTCCAGCCAACCAGGAGTCTGACACTGAACTACCTGTGAGCCATGCTACGAACTTAAATGTTTTACCATGTGCTTCCCCCAATCAGAGCCTCCCAGTAATGGCGCCCACTGTCGATGTAGACATTTCCCGTGACACCGTAGCTGCTGTGGCTGGAGAAGCGGTCCTGACTATGGCTCTTCTTGGACGATGTCTCATCCCTCTCTACTGTCAGGTTGTCATGGGACACCCTCAGCTTCCGGTGAGCAGACTTTGGTTCCAGTTTGAATGGCTGACCTTACAATTTTAAAAAAAGTATTAATTACAATTGTCAAGTATTAATAATTATTTAGTAACACAAGCATTTCTGAACAGCTGCTGACGTACTGTTTGTCTTGAGTTTCCCTGGTTCACTGCTGCGGGTTCCAGCCTGGTTTATTGCTTTCACTATGAAAATGTACTTGGTGCCACACTGGAGTCCGTGCACCGTGTAGTGATTTTGCTTGATGTTTGGTACTATCATCCAGCTATCAGCAGATTTACACAAACCTATAGACAAAGCACAAATTCACCATGAGAATTATTACTAAGTTTAAACTAAGGAGTGAGACAACACAGTATAACAACATGAACTCTTTCAATCTAAGGCTGCTATTTTTAATTCATCAAGTATAGTTGCACTGCTACTCAAGTGTGCTCGAGCGCTGAGGCAGATAAGAATAAATGCTTGATCGAGCATGTTGTGGCTAATTAGGGCGATCAATTCGAGCAGTCTGCTCTTTATTTCAACCTCGAGATAATATCCAGCTTACGATGTGCATCTGGATGTAAATCCAGTCTGACTGTTATTTTCCTTTCCCTTCTGAGATGCAGCAAAAATTACAGTGCATTTTGGAAACATCTCATTACCCACGAGAGCCAGGACAATGCTCTCCACTCCAGCAGCTAAAACACAATATTATGTTTGGATATTGTAGCATACCCCCTCGAACTATTTGAAAATCTTTCTCAGAAATCCTTTTCAAATCCCACCACTATCGTGTTTTCCACCCCAAACATTTGACTGTGGTTCCTTTAGAAAACAACATATGGACTTACTGACAACATTAGATTGGCTGGTGAAGATGGCATACTGTAGCTCGTATGATACAACAGAGAATTCATCATCTGATGTCCAGTGAACCGTGATCGTGTCATATGAAGCTGTACAGAGTTCCTCGCGGATTACTGGTGGATTTGGCGCTTCAAACACAAAACAAAAGGTAAATGTTGCCCAGAGAAAATAATGAAAGCAGTGTTGATTTCATTCTGCACACAACATCAAAATAACAAACAGAGACCAGTGATGGATAAACAGCACCAGCCCTTTGTGTGTATGCACGTGTGTGTTTGTGTGAGTGTCTGCATGTGTCCTTTATTCTGACAAGTGTAATTAATCTATATTGGAGTTCCTCCAGCTATTACAGCTACATCCCCCACGCTGAGTTAAATTCACAGTGCACAACAGGAGCCGTGCATAAACAATCAAACCTGTTTCATTCAGCAGCAAAAAAACTATTGCTGTAAATTATATGAGCTTTTTAGTTTTCTGCCACTCCTTCACAATCACATAGTTTAAATATGAACTCACCGCTGTTATGCTTGCCGAAGCCTGTAATTTTATAAATCCATAATTCACGGATAAGCTGTGGTTCATTTTAAGTGCATCTTTCAATAAAGGAAGCCGGCAAATCGTATGAAAAAGAAAGTTTTGGGGAAACTGATCAGGCGGTACTAAACAAGCAAACAGATTATAGTAATTTACATGGAGGATTCATTTCAAACAATTAAATGCTCTGTGCTTAACATGCGTGGCCCGACTCACCTGTGAGGTAATCTAAGCTTTCTAGCATTTTCTTCTCCCTTGTGAAGTCCAAAGCAAAAGTATCAAATGTGTCATTCAGGTTAATTTCTGGTAACAGGATTTGGGAGGATGCTGTTGCCATAGACACTCTGGTACAAAGAAAATATTAACATTAATATGTGGCGACAGTTTTACACACAGTTTCTATTGTTTGTTCCCGTGTCTGCCTTTCGCTGGTGTCTCACCTCTCGCAGATACTTTTAGCTGTCTGAAGAAAGCGAGCGTGGTCTGTCTCCTTGAGGGTTTGGTCAGCCTGGGTGATGAGCGAGGAGGACCTCTCAATGCACTGCTTGCAGCCGGCTATCTGCTGGGCTAGCTTCCTCAGCCTCACAGACTGGGCAGAAAATAGGATATGCAGACAGATGAATAGCTTAGTAAACTACCAACCGATGCATGACCTATGAGACGGCAACTTATCCAATGTAAAATTGGGTTTCACTTTGCCAATAAGGAAATCCTGCTGGGGAGAAAAAAACTCTGATTTTTCAGTAGTGTCATAGTCACAAGAGTCTGTCCTACAACCTGTTTTATAAGCAATACTTGCATAAGAGGGGTATTCATGAGACATCCTACACAGTATTGTCATAGAAACCAGACCCTTCTAACCCCCCTCTGTGGCTCAATGGCTTAGTGGCTGAAAGCAACCTCACAACCTGTGTCATGAGCCATGAGGTGTGGAAGGAAAGAGGCCCCCTCCAGAGTGGACCATCACAGGAAGCAAGACTCATCTTAGTCTGACACTGAACATGGCACAGCATGCTCCCGCTTCTCTAAGGCGGACAGGGGAAAAGGAAGGGAAACCATTCAAGAGGCATAACACATCCATATTAAAATTATGGACACCCGCTCCTGATACTGAGGACAAAACAAAGCAATAAACTCTCGTCAGTATAAGTGGCCATCAATATGTTGAAACACAGGTCCACACTGCAGAAGAGAACTGCAATTTGTTTTCTCTTTAGAATCCAAAGTCAGCTTTTCTTTTAACTATTCTATATTGTATTCTTTAACCTTAACATAGCCAAGTAAATTGTTTTTGTGCCTAAATCTTCCTAAACAGTGGCAAAAATATATTTGCTTGTTGCCCTATAATTGTTCACATTAACAGGATAGCAAGCAATTACATTTTAGTTCTTGAAGCATGTCTCTTTGCCACATATGTTTTTTGTTCTTTCCCTGAAGATTCTTCTCAGTCAGTTGCTAAAACAGCCCCACTGTTAGGCAGCTTGACTGAATACTCAATAAGATGTGAAGCAGGAAACAGTAAACATCACGGTAATGTGTGCTACGTTTTACTATTTCTATATTTTTGATAAAAGCTGCTTTTGAAAAGCCAGTGGTGATTGCTGGGGGGCAGGGGAGAGAAGCTACCCGCTGAGAACAACACATTTTCAGGGCCTGCCTTCTGTTTGCATTTACATGGCTAATAGGAACTCTGAAGGGACTTAATAGCTGACCAGTGGTGGCTACAGCACCATCCACGCTTTCTGTGTTCCTTTACTTTCACTTTCCCATAATCCTGTTTCAGTTTTCTTTATTTTTTCTCTACTTTGCAACACAGTGTGAGTTTCAATAAGCCAAACACTTCACAGACTGCTCATTTCTCCATGCATTGCAAATTTGTTAGACTGTAAAAAATTGTTGCTTGCATAGCTGATGTTTAGCTAATGTTCACTTTTTTTTGTTTGTTTTGTTTTATTGATGTCCACGGTTCCTCTTGGCAGGAAAAGTCCCTGCTACTAACAAAGAAAACACTTCTGAGAACCATTATGGTCACCAGAAACCGGAAAAAATGTCATCCTTCCTCCATGAATTATTAGAACTATACAAAAGTTTATGCTGCCTGGAAATCAAACTATGTATCAAGACCTGCTTTTATGTAGTGTAACATGTGTCCAGATGGAGCCAAATGTCACATTTAGAGAACTAACATCAGTACAGATTACAAAGCAGTATGTGTCTGCCCACATTAGCTAACACTGGCCACCAGTCAAATCAGAGGCCTACACTGTGAAAGCCTGATTTTGGCTTATCCAGGTAACTTCAGGGTTACCATGGGTTTGCTTTATGATAAAGGCAGTTCACTTTTTGCCTCTAGAGCAGGTTATATTAAAGATTAGAGATCAGCAGGCATGAAATCATTGCCTACTGACCAATCAGTTCCACTGACCAATCAGTTCTCTGGAAGATAGTATCACCATTCCTGGAAGATCCCTGGGACATCATTAATACAGTAAATCATAGTGTTTTTAATACTAAACTACTGTACAGTGCTTTTTCAATTACAATGCTTTTCCTACTGCTGATTTGTATTAGACAATACATATATGTTTAACTCTTCATATTTTTTTTATCTTCCTTTGTAGACGTTGCATTACATCACTTATGCGTCCTTCGTGCGTTACATACTCTCCCTTTGAGCAGTAGACGTGTGAAGAGTCTTTTTTTTACCCATCATCTGTGATTTGTTATTGCTGTATTCTAATAAGAACAGCAGCCTAGGGTGAAGAAGCAAGGTTATCAACATGGACGAGGTGATAAACAAACAAACAAAAGCTATCGAGATACAAAGTGTGATAAACGGTACCTTGCCCTCCTTTATCTTGGTAGCTATGATTTGTCTTCGCTGCTGTATGATATTAATCAGCAGGTCACACTCTTCCTGCAGCTTGTTTTCTTGTCGCGATGCATTTACCTAGACAAAACAGGGGTACAGGTAACATACATTAGAGCAGAGTTGCAATCAGCTGTCCTTGTTTACACACACACACATACACATATATTCATTTAAAGCACAGTCATTTTTAGATAACTGACATAATGCAGTATCTTAATCCTTTATTTGAAAGGCTTTTCAATGAATCACATGCTATTTACTTTATACATATTTATTTATTTATATCTAGACATAAATAAATTCATATTTAGCTTACACATGCTGTTAAAATACCAAATTTGCAGTCATTTAACAATAATTGTTGAGCTTGTGAGTAATGAGCACTCAGTCTTGTTGACATGATACAATTCCACATTCGGATACAGTAATTCATCACGGTGTTAATAATTTAATGAGTTGTTGCCCACGGATTGCCGGGAAAGCTAAAACCCCCAACCTGAAAGGAACAGACAAATAACCTCACCTCCACATGTTGGCAGGTTTGGATAAGTTTGCCCATCAGACTTTCCAACTCACTGGTCCTCTTTATTAGATTGCTGAGGTTGGAATCCAAGGCTTGCTGCAAAACAAAATTGAAAGGGAACATTTCATTATACACTGCCTCCCCAATCAAACTGTAAACAGCTGAATAAATCCTGGAAGAGAGTTAGGTGAATAGGAACATAAGGACCATATCAAGTGT